TGATGTCCAAGTTGGGTGTTCGTAATCTCACACTTCCAACTTGAGGGGGAGTATTGGAGATAAGTCCTAGTTAGTTTAGGATAATGATTATATTGTTCTAAGTCCTTATCATCTTAGGATGTTTTCCTTGTATAAATATCGAGCTATTGCTTTCATAATACAACAACTGATTCTACTGATTCTACTCTAAGATATTTCAGGTAGTCGACAAAGTGATCAACCTGGTCACGGAATGTAGATCCTAAGACCAAATCTAGGAGTTGACAAATAGTCTCAATGTCTAAGCAATTTTGTCTTTCATCTGGATGGATGATAATAATAAGGTTATTATGTTAAAGGTCACACAAGCACACAAAAACGAAAACACAAATCATGTAATATTATGCTCATGACGGAGTAGATGATTTCACCTGTCAAACAATAACGGAAAGCATAGAAGTCTGCAAAATTCAATGGCTCTCTGACCTGAAATAACAAAGAAACATTAACGCAAGGATACATATCGAACATGCTATCAATCAATATAAAAAATTAAAAAATTAATCAAACCTCTTTCTCGAGCTCTGGAAGGGCTTTCTTCAATTTTTTTATAGTGTCAACCTTTAACGCCTTGAATACTCTTCTCCATTCAGCCTATTACAGGTGTAAAACGAGTAAAGATCATTCAAATAAGTACAAAGAAGAATCTAATTTGTATAAATATTAAAGGAAAATGTTTTGTGATTCAATGGTTTGATAGAATCGTCTATTGCACATGGGAGAATAATGCTATTACCTTTGTGAAGTAACCTTGTCTTTCAGCCTTCATTTTCCTATAATGAGCAGAGGTATTAATAAGGTTATGCACTTGTGTTCGGAACCAAGAGTTATATATATAAAACAAGAAAAATAATAAGTATTTGTGGACTGATCGGTTACCAAGCTAGCATCAAGATCTTGATATCAGTATGAGAAACTTTCAATTTGGAGCAAAGTTTCTCAATTCCTTCTGGACTGTTAGATGCAACAAGAAGAAAAGTGTTAAAACCTTGTTCGTAAATACAAAGAAGAGGAATGTGATCGTGTGGACTTACTCAATGACACCAGAAGATGTATTAGCATACTTATTAAATAACTGATATTTTGCATCCTTCTCTTTGGTCGACTTTTTAGTTTTGCTCGAAACTGCTATACCAAAACACAAAAGATTGATCCTCTCAATGATTAGCCGATAGGATTTATCCAAAAAAAAAACATTAAAGATTGTACAACCGGAGTCCAAACTTGACTATGTGATATAAACCCTAATAGGGAGATTTATGTTTTTGCGATACCTGAGGGGACAGGATCCACCGTGGCTGAAGAAGCAACTGTGTAAGGTTTACTCCGTTTCTTAGACGGCTTGGAGGCAGTAGGAGGCATCTAAACCGCAACCAAAGTGCACATAACAACAAAATATCAACGATAAGTATAGAGAAAACTACATATAAACTAATTTATCAACGATTTATACCGGGAAAGAGCGACGGGAAAGCTTCTAGGTCAAGGAAGGCAAAGCAATAGAGAATAGTTTTTTTTTTTTATCAACGCGATAGAGAATAGCGTATACACGATTTTATACACTTTTTTCTTCTTAATGAAGAAAGTCATATTCTCCTTTTTTTTCTTTCCTTTTTACAAAGATCTCTTTCTCTGTTAACTTACCTTTTTGTTTTCTTTTTAACATCAGTTTACCAATTTTCTAAATAGTGTATTTTAGTCGGATGTTTTTTATTCTGTGTTTTATCAAATAGTTTTTATAACTTATTTTTTAAATACTAATTTATTATAATATTACAATTATGAAAAATATTACATAACCGATAAATGATCTATATCTAACTGTATCTTCTAAGCTGCCATATGAAGATTATTCTTGCACCATGATAAAAATCTTTTGTATATTTTCCTTCATAATTTATAATTTGTATAATTATTAATTACCGAGGATTGAAACCTATCTCTGGATGTATAATCATTAATAAACCCTCAGCTAAATAGTTTTCTTTTATAATCTACTTTATAACAAACAAAAAAATCTACATAATTAGAACACAGGATACATTTTAAAACACTCAGAAATCTGCCATTTTTCAGTTCTTTAAGAAAAAGACATTACTTTCCCTTTTACATCTATTTGATTTTTAACCTGATAATGTAGCAACATAATATTTATAAGATTTTCAACGAGACCACATCGAAACCATTCACGCTTCTTACAGACAAAGCCAACTGAATCTCTTCCACGGACGAGTAGTAAACAATAAGACCCTCCTCTCCAACGAGTACTAATAAGTAATGAATGGGTCAACTAAGCTGATGTTTGGTGGCCTGTCTCTGAAAGATATAGGGAGAAGAGAGAGACAGCATCTTGCAGATGTGATGATCTTACATCTTCTGGTAAAGGAGCTTTGAAGGCTGTCATAAAACAGCTTAGCTGAGACTCTCTATCTGGATACACACTCAGACCTGACAGAAGCAACTCGCAGATTTCCTCTGCCATCTTTGTGTATGCGACTCTGCAGCCATACAAAGAGAGTTTGCACGCTTAGTGTTACCAAATTTAATAAAAAGCTTTGTGGATCAACTTGGAATTTGTGTGTGAGATGTTTGACCCGTATCTGTCCACACAGCAAACTTGGGCTGTGTTGTCATCAGAAGCCAATTTTAGTTTAGGAGCAATTACTATGGAAGCCACCAAATTTAGAAGGATCCATTCCAAAATTGCTCCATTATGTATTACTTTCTAGGTTATGGTAATATGGTATGAAGAGGTCCTATCCTAGGACTGATTTAGAATCTTATACAATCCACTGAACGATATGAACGAAGGATCAAACAAGTGCATGCAAGCAATAACTAGTTCTTAACGATTCTATGCTATTGGCAAGTGTGAGACATATGGAGTACTTACCTGGCTTCAACCGGTAATCTATCACCCCAAACAGCCAATGACTCGTTTAAACGACCAACAAAACTTCTGCACGACTCGTTTCTGCTCTCAGGGGAATCCTGTCGAAGCAAAAGTTGTGGTGTTCGTGTTATGCATGCAATTTACACATCGAGAAAGAGATAACTATGACCATGATCATAATAAGGAGTTTAAAGCACTTTCGTTGAGTATTAAGACACTAGATATTGTACAGCCAGTTAGCTCAACAGCCGCATATTTAAAGTTTAAGCAATTTGAGAGCTCTAGGAGTTGAATCTCAAATTTAAGATTATAACGATGTAGACGTACCAGTTCTAGCATTGTATCAGCATCTTCTTCTAGTGAACTCTTTAGTAAATAAAATGACATGTAAATCCCAGCACCCAAGTCCCAGTTTTCAATCTCAGACTTGCGGTCGTCCATTGAAGTAGCAATTCTCCATATTTCTGAATGGTTCGCTGCATTCAATAAAGATAAAACAGATCACTCCAAACAGATCGTTCCTACACTACACCGGAATGGTGTTCCAGTTGAGCAATTCGGTCTGAACCATAAGGAAATGAAGAAACTTACCTGACAAAAACAATGAATGAGCAACTGATGTCATAAAAATGGAATGAGCTTTTTGCCAGTTTGCGCATTCGATAAAGTGGTCAAGAGCCTTTACGAAATCTCCATGGTAATTGTAATAAACTGCCTGAAACAAAGGAAGAAAAAAAAAACAGCAATCAGCATATATCAGTATAAGATGAAAAAAGGTTTTCCATTTATGCGCACGAGTACCCTTAGCAGAAGTAGAAAAAAGGGTTTTGTATAGCGTCATTACCAGAGCTTCGTGCATCCATTCAGAAGGGATACCCAAGTCCTTGATAAATTGACGCTGTGATTCAGCAGAACTCCAAGTTTCACAGAACTGAAACAAGATTTCCCGAATGACAATGAAGTGTAGATATGGACGGTCTTTTCGGTAGGGTATGTGAAGAACAACGTAGATAGCCCAATGACAAAGGCCCTGAGAGAGAAGCTGTGCAACAAATCCCATATCGAGAGCATGAAGGTCATCTGAAGTGAAAGCTCCAACTGCTTCTAAGATTCCTCGCTGGTGCCAGATCATATGATAGTCAAGCGGGTCGTCAGTTGAAGAGAAGGCACTAAACATAGTCTTCAGATAACTAATTTCTTTCTCTTCTCCGCGGTGCAGAAGCATAAGATAATACAAGAGGTCAGAATGATTGGTGTTGCTTGCAATGCCATCTGCTGGTCCTTCGTCAATATATATTGGGACTGGCCACGGAGCTTTTCCCTGATCTAGTAGGAGCTGATAATTTCTGAAGATGACAGGCAATGAACTATCGGGAGGCAGATGATGCCACATTAACAACCCTAGGAATCTCTTCCAGTCAATTGTAAAATCTTGTAAGGCATCGTGGATATTACCAGCAAGCAATTCGTAAAGCTTGATCCTATCCTTCTCAATGTACTTAAAATCCAGCCCATTCCTTCCCCAAATATGAAGCTGCTGCATGATATCATCGCGGTTTACAGTTGATCCACCAGCCTGGCTCAACAAAGAAGCAAGTCTAACATCTCCCTTAGATATGGCAAGTTCCACAGCTGAATCAAGCTCTCGTCCAGTTAGAAGAAAGAACAAGTGCTTAAGGTAGTCAGAACCATTTAGATCACTCACGTCTTCTTGTACACGGTGACTGACACATTCTTGGAGCCAGCAACTGAATTCTGCTCTTCGGATAAGTGGAAGAGCTTCTGTATCAACTTCGGCAGACTCTTCTATGACATCTTGCATCATGTCCTCCTCATTATCAGAAGCCGCATAATTCGAACGTTCAGTACTCTGTCTCTCAGAAAAGAGAACTTTTATGAGTTCCCACACCATGACTTGGTGATTTGAAAAGAGCTTTGCAGAGGTTGACAACCCATCAAACTCCAGCTGTTTCTCGATTATTTCAATATAGCTTCGGCAGATATCAGTAAGAACCACGCGGTCAGTGACAACTCTCTGAAGTCTAAGACTGAAAGAGCCAAACCTGACTTCTTTTTCGTCATGATCCAATTCCTTGTGGAGACTTAAGGGAGTCTCAAATGCAGAGTCAGTAAGTTCTTTCTGAACTTTTTCCTTTTTATCCCGAACCACTTTATCAATTGCTATCTTATCTACATTGACCACAGAAGACAATACTCTCTGGGAACTAGAACTGCCTATTGAATTACCAGTGTGAAGAAGGACGCCATTTGGGCCCCAACCTGCTCGGAACGACCTTCCCATGAATAAGGCTGCATCTACAACGTTGCGGGAATAGTTATCAGTTACTGGTGTCTCATGGCTGATGTCCAGCTCGAAACCTCCCATTTTCGACTTTCTGACTGGCAGGTTCTTATTTTGTTGGACCATCAGGATACTGCCTGGGGAACTTTTATCATTACCAGGGTTATACTCCAGCAAAGCAAGTGGCGTTTTCCGCACGAACGGTGGAGTAACTTGACGTATTTTTCTTTGAGAATTTTTCTGTGAAGGTCTTGCGTTTCGTTTAGTCAACGATGTCATGTGGAAGGAAGTTTGATCTCCTAAATCCTCACTTTCGTCAAGATCATCTTCATTAGGAAACATCAGCATTCTCATCTCTTTCATCTTTTCAGGATCAAGTCCAAGATGAGCCGGAAGAGAATGAGAAAGCTCAGGCTCAGAAGTCTCCATCTGATGGTCTTCATCAATGCCAGCCACCACCAGGTCACCACCATTCAGTCCTACATGATTCTCCAAACCCGCCGGGGCATCATTCATAGCAATATCTTCTGCCTCATCATCACTCAATCCAAATCTACTGAAATGAGGAACCAAAAACTTCCATAAACCATTCTCAGAATCAAATTCGATGAAAGTTGCTCCTTGTCTTTCAGCACTCTGTTTTAATTTATCAGAAACATGGTCAGCCTTCTCTTCCCCACAAGCTAAGTTAACGATAAGAGTGACTTCAGCAGGCTTGTTAAGCCCCTCGCCAACAGCTGGCTTGGAGCTCTCATCATCATAAACAACCACCTCATGCCTTTGAAACTTAACAATCTGATCTAGCTCTAAGTTTCTAACATCTGTAGTTCCAAGAAACTTGATGAAACCGTAACCAATCCTCCCAACGGTGAAATCAGGAACACGGCTGCAATAGCCAGGGCTTTCGATTTCTCGCTGGAGCAGCTCGTTAATGGATGGCTTCAAGAAGTAGTCTGGAGAGTTCAATGTAGGCAATGAATCTCTGTAACGTTCAGGTAAGATAGCATTTTCTTCTTTAAAGAGCCTTCTTTTCTTACGCGTCTCCAAATCTGTATTCATCTCTGTCAACAAATAACGAACGAAAATTAAAAAAAAAAAAATCAGAAAAATAAGTTGAGAATGCTTAATTAACCTAAAGAGAGTGTAAAGAGTTAGTTACGTGGAGGTGGAAGAATACAAGGAGACGACGCCATGATTGAGGAACTGTCGAAGCAGTCTACTAGGGTTTTTCTGATCTTACAGTCTGTCACCGTAGTACTGCACCTCTTTTTCAAATGTCTGTAACGAATCATTGCTCACTGGACGGTGGCGCTGAATGACGGCGGCGGCGGAGGCGGCGACAATCTAAAACCCTTCTTCTGCTAAGCCGCTGCGAGAAAGGGAGGGAGTAGGCAACGCTCTCAAACTTGGTCAGATCCGCCAGGTTTCGTTTGGATCCGTTTTTTTCCCGACCCGACTCGTGAAACTAGTATAAAGGACTGTTACTAAACGTAATATTGGGCCAAGAAAGCCCAATAGTCAGGCCCATATATAATTTCCTTTTTTGTAATGAGTTGAGCGTCCTATAAACGCTTCGCCGGACGTCAATAAGACGCAGGGCAGAGGAGGAGGACCTAAATAAATACTTGTCATCACCTTATTATTCACTTCATCTTCCATCCGCTTCTGCTTAGTTACAGGGAAAGTCTTATTCTGGGCTCTGTGATAATGGCTACCTTTGGTGCGACAGCGAATACTAACCCTAACAAATCCTATGAGGTAATTCTTCTATAGGCCTCCTTTGATTACTCTGTAGCTGAGATCGAAGAGCTTTCTGCTTCTATCTGCCTTACTTCACAAACTTTCGTGTGTGTGAGATTCATCTCGTGTATCTAATTACTTATCTAAGAAAGAAAGCCAAATTTGAGTCTCAAATAGCCTAATCTTTGCTTATTTCAGCCAAAAAAAATCCTTGTTTTGAAGCCTTAACCCTTTTAGCCTTAAGAGCTGAATCAAAATCGTTTTGAGACTTGTTTACTTCCTTGTGGATGTCTACATTTCCTTTTCTATTAAAGCTCCAACCTTTTTTTATTTTAGTACAATTTTCACATAATGTTATTCATTGTCACTGCAGGTTACTCCATCACCCGCAGATTCTATCTCCAGCTTAAGTTTTAGTCCAAGAGCCGATATTCTTGTCGCCACTTCTTGGGACAATCAGGTTTTACTTTATGCCTCCTTTCTATGTTGCTTGCTGCTCTCTGCTTCGTCAAGTATATTGTGATAATTTTTCGTTTCATTCCAGGTGAGGTGTTGGGAAATTTCCCGTAGTGGGACCTCTCTCGCCAGTGCTCCTAAAGCATCAATCTCTCATGATCAGCCCGTAAATATCTCTTGTTACTTTCTATCTTTCTTTAGATTGCTTTCAATTCATTCTGATGATTGTGTGTATCTTTTGATGAAGGTCTTATGTTCTGCTTGGAAAGATGATGGAACCACTGTCTTTAGTGGAGGATGTGATAAGCAAGCCAAAATGTGGCCCTTGTTGTCTGGTGGTCAACCTGTAACTGTTGCTATGCACGATGCTCCTATTAGTGCCATGTCCTGGATCCCCGGCATGAATCTCCTCGTCACCGGAAGCTGGGATAAAACATTGAGGTAAAGATTGATTTGTTCATTATATTCTGTTACGAAAATCAAACAAATGACATAGAATTGCCTTGACTGATAAAACGAATGTATGTTGCTTTTTCCTTTCCAGATATTGGGACACAAGGCAGCAAACTCCTGTGCATACCCAACAGCTTCCAGATAAATGCTATGCTTTGTCTGTGAAACACCCTCTCATGGTTGTTGGAACTGCAGACAGGAATCTGATTGTCTTCAACTTGCAAAATCCTCAGGTTAGTTTTTAGTTTTTATAACTTGTATGTGTGATCTCTGATTGCTATGAATCCTGAGCATCACATGGTTTCGAGAATAGATGATCATTTTAGCACCATATGGATCAATTAGAATAAGCCTGTAGTCTATCCTACGAAGACAACAAGTCTCGTGACTCATGATTTATTGTTTCGCTTGCGTATTGAAACTTTTATTAATTTGGTAAACTGCAGACTGAGTTCAAGAGAATCGTGTCCCCACTGAAGTACCAGACGAGGTGTGTTACTGCCTTCCCTGATCAGCAAGGATTTCTGGTATGTCTTCTTATTTATCTTTTTAGATTGTGTTTCGGTTAATTCAATGGTATGGGAATCTAGCTGATGGCACTTATAATTATACAAAATGTTTCTTTCCTTTTCAAGCTTGAGAAGTTTCTATTGGTTATTGTGATTAGGTATAGTAATGTTGGAAGTTGTTTCATCAGTCACATATTTTCTAGATCACACAAAATGTTCAATATATAACCAGATCGTATATCCGTTGCTCTCTGTATCTATAGGTTGGTTCAATTGAGGGGAGGGTTGGTGTCCATCACCTGGATGATGCTCAACAGAACAAGAACTTCACATTCAAATGCCACAGAGATGGGAATGAGATCTATTCTGTCAATGCTCTGAACTTCCACCCGGTAAGCTCTCTATGGCTATGTAGACTTAAAGCTTCAACATCATGAAAGTAGATTATACAGATGGTAATTGTTTTGAGGTTGTGTAATATAAAGGTACAAGGCACTTTTGCCACTGCTGGCTCAGATGGGGCTTTCAATTTCTGGGACAAGGATAGCAAACAAAGACTCAAGGTAATAATATCTCATTGAGTTTTTTTTGTTTCTTCTTAATAGATGATAACTAACAGTTGTGTACATAAACAAATGTCAGGCCATGTCAAGGTGCAGTCAGCCAATTCCTTGCAGTTCGTTTAACCACGATGGGTCTATATATGCATATGCGGTATGCCTACACCTTCTTTGTTTTCCACTTTATCATTTGGAGAATATAGGTAAATAAATGTAATGTATTATTTTCTTTCCATTTTGTATTGTAGTCGTGCTATGACTGGAGCAAAGGTGCAGAGAATCACAACCCGGCAACTGCGAAAAGCAGCATCTTCTTGCACCTGCCACAGGTGTGTGTAACTCTCAACTCGTATAATAATTAATCATGTTTCCAAACTTTATTAGTAGGAATAGTGTTTGATTTGGTTTGAATGAATTTGCAGGAAAGCGAGGTTAAGGCGAAACCAAGAGTAGCAACCGGCAGAAAATGAGAGTTGCTAAATGCTTTTAGTGTGGTCTTCACTCTAGTGGATGATGTTTTAAGCTTTCTTGATATCGTTTTGGACGTTTATAAGATAGAGTCTCTCTACTCCCCTCAAGTAAATCAAATCCTCCGTCTGTCTTGGATGTTTCTTCTTTTGGCTGAGTTTGGTATTGTGTTTGTCTAAGTACTTTTCTCCTTAAGAACATAATGAAAATACTCTTTCTACAACACCTAATCTATCTTCTTATTTCATAATTGGTAAATTTAGCACTATGAGAATTTAATACATTATACGCATCTAGCATATACTATATTGCTTCCTCAAATCTCTTTCGTTCACTAAAGTCTCCTAAATTTGGTTATTAGTTCAGCAAAATGAAAAGACACAGAGAGAAAATTATCAGTTTGAAACACACACAAAAACTGCAGAGAAACTTTGAAAAAAGAAAAGTTTACACGAGATAACATTGCTCAATCAAACGGATAATTATCTAATGCATAGTAATTACTTCTAAAAGCTTCTAAGAGAAGGCAGCAGCTATGCTGGTCCCCGGAGACATCATCAGCATCAAACTAGGTGACATTGTTCCAGCAGATGGTCGTCTCCTGGAAGGTAATCCTCTCAAGATTGACCAATCTGCTCTCACAGATGAGTCTTTACCAGTAACCAAGAACCTTGGCCAAGTTCATCCTCAGATTTGCACTAAGTGGTAGAGCCTGGGATAATGTCATTGAGAACAAGGTGAGAACAAGAACTCTAGTCCTTTTTGGGAGTACTGTTTCTAACTTTGTTTCAGACTGCGTTCACGTCAAAGAAACACAATGAGAACAAACTCAACGTACCCTTCATAAACTGCAACCTGCTTAACCCTCAGAGATGTTCAATGATAAGAATACTAATAGAGAACTTTCAGAGATAACAGATCAGACCAAGAGACGTGCTGAAGTCGCAAGGCAAGGCTCGCAAGCAATTGATTAAGCTAATATCATTGTGTTTCTCAGAATATGGTATTGACACTGTTTCTCTTGTCTTGTTAATTTTTCAGGTTAAGAAAGCGTCATACATTGAAAGGTCACGTGGAATCAGTAGTGAAGCAGAAGAGGCTTGACATAGAGGCTATACAGCAACACTCTGTAATTTTCAGAAACTAAGTAGTTTCTCAGTTTACTTTAGAAACCAAAACCACAAGAGTATTGATACCATTGAATAATAAACCACCACTTTCATCATTAGAAAAATACTACAAAAATGCTTCTTTGATTAGCAGTGGCTGTTGGCTGCTTTATTTGTTATGAGATATTCTTGTTTTATTTATTACCTTTACAAACCTGATAAGGTTTTACATTAGAACTCTTATAAAATAGAGCTACAACGAATTGACAGGTAGAGTAATCTTATGTTAAGCATCCCTCCCTATTTAGAAAAATGTAGAAAGACTCTACTAGACTCTCAGGTTACTACTTCATCGGAGTAGATGATGTTTTCCCCTTTACATGATCAAGATACCAGAGAGCTCCTTCAGCTGCATGCTCAGCAGCAGCTTTCTTATTGTGTTTGGGATCACCAAAACATTCCAAAACAGTTGTTGTTCCTGAAGAATCTCTAATCTCAACCACAACTTTGTATGTAAATCTGAACCCAAAAACAAACAAAAAAACAAACCAAGTTCATGCAAAAGAAAAAAAGGGGGATTGTGATTTCGAAATATGTGTGACTTACAATCTCATATGACAAGGTCCATGGACATTGCAACAATCATAAACAGGAGGTTTCCATCGCTTGGAAATACATAATTCATGTAACACCGATTTTGCAGACCCTTTCTTAGATTCATCTGGACCCCACAAGCGTTCAAACAATGAATCAAATAACCAAAACTTAAATCTAATCTCTGTAATGTATAGCTTACTAATTAAGAGAAGTGCAGGAAGAAAAGGTAGCAACCTTTAGATAATGAGTTAGCGTCATCTTCTGGTTTAGGAACAGGATGATTCTCTTGTGTCGTGCTTACGCTTCTTGTGCTATTAGGATCGATCTGAATGTTAGAGAAGGAAGATTTGACATTATCTTCTTCAAGCTTCAACTCACTCATCTCTTGGTAGTATCTCTGCTTTGGCACACTATCTGGCACCATCATTGTCCTTGCCTTCTGATCAAAGGACAAAACAATTGAAAGAACACCCAAGATAATATTAACTGATTCCGACAGATATATATAAGTATGTTTTAAAGACAACTTGTTTAGTACTATTAAAAACAGGCAAATCAACGGTGTAGATCAAAGAACAATGGAAACAACACAGATAACCCCTACAGAATCAAAAAGTTACCCTCTCTTTATTGTGTTCATTATCACGCCTTCTCGAATGGTATCGCAAAGGAAGAAACTTTGGAAGTAAAATGGAATGAAGAAAGTATTATTACCAGAGAGGAGTTAGTGGGGGGGATAGAAGAAGGATCCAAAGGAGGAATGTCTTTGAGGCTGATGATGATTGATCTTCTTCTTCTTGATGTGTTTCGCCTCGTTTCCTGATCCTCCTCCTCCATCTTCTCTCTCTCTCATAACTCGAAGTTTCTCGATTCCCTAAACGGATAAGGTTAATTAAAATTACACACAACTCATAGTGTTTTGTTTTCGTCTTTATGTGTGTTCTTATGTGTTTGGTCTGAAAGTCAAAAGCCTAAATTAATTGTACTTAAACCAAACTAGTTGACACGATCCAAGAAAAAAACAGATAAAAATGGAATTTGCACAAGAACCAAACAACAACAATTCAAAATGTAAAGATTACAAATCAGGAAAGGGAAATGTGTTTTTACAAAATGCGCAATGATCCGCCGAGTTCAAGTGGTAGGAGAGGGATGAGTGAGTGCAACACATCGGTTATAAGTGGTCTGTAACTTGGCTCTGGCTGCACACACAACACTGCAACCGCTGCTACCTGATAAAGATGCTTCAAATCCATGGTTCCTTTGATTGCAGGATCCAATATGTTTGGAAGATTAGCTCTGTCACTCAGCTTTGGTACAGCCTGTTCAACAAAAAACTCATAAATAAACAATAGATGGATTTCCAGTACATTATTATCTTGAAAAGTTGTAACGTACCCAAGTGACTACTGATTCTGGTTCTGTTGATGGTTTCTCCACTGATTTCTTCCCCAGGAGAAGTTCTAGGAGAATCACCCCAAAAGAGTATACATCATTTTTGTCTGTAACTTTCCCTTTATAAGATGAAAACAAAATATGAGCTTCAGATAAAGAAAATAGTAGAGCTGCAACAATGGGGAGACTAGTTGTTGCGTATTACCATCAAGAAGATACTCTGAAGGTCTGTTCAGATTCTTGTTCTGACTCATCAACACAGTAGCATACCCAAAATCTGATATCTGAAGAGACAATCAAACAGATCCTTACAACTCATATCTCTCTATAAGAAGAATGTTACATGATACATATCAATCTCTTCTCTTTTTTTTTTTTTTTACCTTTGCGTTGAAATCAGAGTCAAGAAGGATGTTAGACGATTTCAAATCTCTGTGAACTACCGGAGGATGGCAATGCTCATGAAGATACTCTAATCCTCTTTATAAAAAGAAAATAAAAACTTTGTAAGCATACAAATATGCTTGGAGATTAAAGGAAGCTGCTAAACATTTGAAAGTATATATCAAAGAATGGAACTATATACCGTGCTATATCAACCGCAATTTTCATCCTAAGCTGCCAGGTTAAACCTGCCCCTTGACTAGGTCCTTGAAGCGAAGAAAGATTTAAGTCAAAGTCAGATGTCAAAAGATTAAACAAAGTGTGCTTAAACATAGATCATCTCACTTACCATGCAACTGACTCTCCAAAGATCCATTCTGCATCATCTCATACACAATGCATCTCGTTTGCCGATAGACGCTAAACCCCAAAAGAGAAACTATGTTCTGATGCTTGATCTTCGCCAACCAATCTACCTCATTCTGCATTATAGTTCAACAAGACACCAGAGGAGTTATGGTTCATTAAATGAGATGGTTCAATAGTGTGGAAGGAGCAATCAATGTGGTTCAAGCCGAACCTCAAACTGTTTTTCAATGTCTGTATCTCCACCACCATCAAGCTTCTTCACAGTGACAGAAGACTTTCCATCAAGACAAGCGCTGTAAAGACATCCACGACCACCTCTGCTCAACACATTACTATCGCTAAACTTGTTTGTACCAGACTCCAGCAGCTGATATTCATAGACAGGGATGGTTCCTTTTGTCACAGAATCAATCTTGTGTACAACAGGTTTCGTGGAAACACTACTCTTCACAGAATCTTCAGACAATAAGCAAAGAACAAAAAATAAGCACACAACAAAAAACCTGAAGGCTGTAAAGGATAACAAGGGTTGAGCTTATAACATACCGGACTTTCCCTTGATACCAGTGAAGCTGTTCTTCGGATTACGGTACCTCCATAGCAAGAGGTAGAGAAGAAACAAGACTGTGATACAGAGGAGTGTTGAGGAGACTATAAGAGCAATAAAAATCTTCTTGTTCAGGTCCTGGCGAATCACCACTTTAACAATGGGAGGTCCTGAGAGAGAAAGTATAATTTGCAAAAAGGTCAACTTTTTTCTTTACATAGGTTCAGATAAAAAAAGTTTCCATTTTTATTCTGGAAATAGTATGAATTTCAACTAAAGTCGATTCCTTTTGGTCTCCTTTAGCAAACCCATTTCAGCAACTTCAGGAGCTAGTAAGACCCTAATCACACTCAAATCAGTAGCCCAGATTTTGAATTTACCTGGAGATTGAGCTCCTCCGATTCGAGGAGTAGCCTGAGAGATAGGGATTTCTTGGGAAGTAGCAGAGACGAAAACAACTGAAGCAACCGAGAAACTCAGAACCCAAATGGGTAGTAAGAACAGCAAATGAGGAAGGAGACACATTCTTGTTTGGTGTTTCACAAACATGCAGAGAGAGAGAGAGAGAGAGAGAATATGAAGATTCCTCCTTTTTTTAGTTCTTCGTCTGTGTTTTTTAATGGAAGAGATGGGAAGAAATCTTTGAGATTATCTTGTCTGAAGATGGAGACAAGAGAGAAAGACAGTGTTGGGGTTGGGAAACGGAGAGAGAGAGAGAAGGACAATGTATTTGGTTTAGTCTTCATGTGGCAGTTATCAAAAGGTGGAAAAAAGTTTAAACCAAACCCAAAAAAGAGAGTGCGCCCTTGAGGAGAGAGAGAGGGACCAGACGTGGGGTGATTAGACGTGGAATTGTGGAGTGGTGTGTGATAGAGAGAAACAACATCATGCTCTCTCTCATTCAAGCTCCATTTTTCATTCATTACAAATCTTTTTCATTTGTATTTTCTGTAGTAGATTACAGAATTAATTAGCATCCCAAGAATGTAAGATAATGCCACTCTGCCGTGTGATAGTTTTAAAGAAGACAGTCTTTTGTTTATTGTGTAAAAAACCTTCCATACACGTAAAGCTAAAAAAGAAATACATTTCCAACGCAAACGTCAAATCAATTAAATAGATTGCAGCTGTTAGTTGAAGTTTTGTGTGCTTGAAGTTTGAGAAGGATTTGACCCCCAAAAAAAAAAAAAAAATTGAGAAGGTTCAGTGTATGGATGGATAAATTCATTTGTGGTGGAAGAAGAAATTGTTTCAAAAAGAAAATCTGTTTCAGATCAGTTATATAAAAAAGTAATGTGTTTGATGGTGTGTGATGTTTGATAGATGGAGAAGGAAAAAAGGAATATGTAATGGATTATGTAATCTCTAGAGGTTTGTTTTGCATCGAGGCACATTACTCCAAATGATTCGATTGGGTCATTGTGCATAATTCATTTCATGCGGATTTAGTGAACTAAAGGACAAGTCTTGGTTGAAAGAACTGAATCCAATAAAATAAATACTTTTTTAATTAGAAGAAAGACTCCAAAAGTTTTGAACATTATTCATGTGAACTTTCTATGTCTGTCCTATTCAACTTTAATTGCCCCCACAAGTGGTCACATATACACACAGCTGTACAGTTGACAATCGGGAAAATTGACAAAATAACCCTCAACTTTCGAAAATAAGCCAAAACATTCTCCAACTCACAAACATGCCATTTTAACCTTCAACTTCTAGTCAAACACGAATAAATCTCATACTTTTGTTGACCAAGCCATTTTAATCTCATCAAAATTTAACTGTTTAGTTCCGTTAGTTATATTTAACGGTTGACTTTTAATGAGTCTAAAATGGCTTGGTCAACGAAAGTATGCGATTTTTTTATTTCAATTTAAAAATTAGATTAAAATTGTTTACTTAAAAATATCTTAACTAAAAATTGCTATTTTTGCATTGTTCTTTTCAACAAAAATTGTAGTTTATCATATTGATTAGAATTACAAACTTAATAAAATATGTTCAAATAATTTTAGTTATAATATTTCAAAAACAAAAAAAAAATATTTATTAAAAAACTTGATTAAAAATACAATTATACTGTAAATTCAGATATAAAATAAAATAATTAAATGTTTAGGTTCAAAAAATATTTAAGAATAAAAACATAAAAGTTAAAGGTAAAACCCTAAACACATTGTTAAAAGTTTAATCACGTATACTCAATAGAGGATTAAACAAGTGAAGATGAGGAAGTTAAGTGCGTGAAAGGGATTTCCGGCAACTGATGTATAATTTTTTTTTGTTTTTAAATAATTTTTAAATATTATATCTAAACCTATATGAACATATTTTATTAAGTTAGTGATTACAATCGATATGAAAAATTATATTTTTTCTGTCAGAAAAAAATAAATTTTAGTTAAGATATTTTTAAATAAGCAATTTTAATCTTTAACTTTTAAATTAGGATAAAAAAAATCTCATACTTTCGTTGACCAAGCCATTTTAGGCTCATTAAAAGTCAACTGTTAAATATGACTAATGGAACTAAACGGTTGATTTTTGACAAGATTAAAATGGCTTGGTCAACGAAAGTATGAGATTTATTTGTGTTTGACTAGAAGTTAAAGGTTAAAATGACTTGTTTGTGAGTTGGAGATTTTTTTAGCTTATTTTCAAAAGTTGAGGGTTATTTTGTCAATTTTCCCGTTGACAATCCCAAATAAATAAAATTCAAAAAAAAAAAAACTGATTGGGCCTTAATATTATGAGCCTGAAAATATATTATTAAGCTTTAACAGGCCCAACGGGTCTTAAGAGAAGCATTTTGGAAATAGAATTGGGCCCATTAGGTAAAAGACCTTCAAGATATTAGCTCTGGGCTGAGTCCTTTTACATATCTGGAAACTACATTTTGAAGGTCGAGTGTCTAAAGAAGCTACGAGTGACTCTACTCTTAGGACTAAGAAGATGAAGTGAACCTTCTATTAATATTTGAGATAAGATGAAATGTCTATAAATTAACTTTATTATCAAACTTCTCACACAAGTTTAGTTTCTTTGCCTGCAATAATAAACTCAAGTACAACTTTTCTCCCAAAAATGATGGATGAGAGAGACTCACATTATCTCTTTTGCCAAAATGGAAAGAACAAAAAGAGAGTGACAGAGATCAAGATTCATTTGTTTAAAACTTGTAATCAGGGTTGTCACGAAGGCCGAGTTTTGAGAGTGAAAGGCAGTAGGAGTCCCAGTCTGTTCGTCTCATATACTTCAACAGTTTCTTCCTTCTATGCACCATTGCTATAAGTCCCTTTTTCGAATGCTTGTCCTATATTAAGGTTATATAGGATACGCAATTAGGTTTACAGTACAAAATACTGCCACTACTAGCTTCAGAAGAGAGAAAAAAAGGATTGAGAGTTTACCTTTTTATGTAGAACAGAGGATAGATGCTTGATCTTAGTAGTCAGTTGTGCCACTACAAAAGAAAGACCATATAAATCACTAACCAATAATATAACAAATGAAATGATCTGTGTTTAACTAATTAGATCAGCCTTGTATTCATAGCTAAAGACAAACATTGATCAGTGTAAATGTTCATTTTGCAGGATTCAAATTTACCTTGAACACGCGCAGAACCACAATCGGATTCTGACATCTTGAACTCTTCCCTAACCTTTGCAAGCTCGATTTTCATCTTCTCCGCAGATGACATATTATCCGGGTGGAAATACTGCGTTTAATTTTACATAATCAATGCCTAAAAGCTTAAAGATTCAATAACTAACAAGGAAACAAAAAAAGAGACTTACAGTTTGAACAAGCTCCTCTTTGGGAGGCTCGAGCAAATACTTTGGAGTATCACTGAAAACGCTGAAAATATCCACGTTCTGAACTGCAAGCAGATCAACCTTCCAATTAAATCCACAACCAAATCAACAAAACACCACGAACTCTAAAACAACATAAAAATCAACACTTTGCTAAGTAAGATATTCAGAGTCCACAGCAAATTCTCCAGCTCTATCCTAAAGCAACTAAAGACTGTCTAAGATTTTAAGCAAATATTCAATATCTAAACACTGAACATTCAATATCTAAATAGTCATTCACACGTACATGCTAGTGCCTTTCTGGCTTCTGCTTCTCTGGACTGCTGAATACCAGTCCTAAGTTCATCAAAAGGAAGCCCCCTCCTTGTCCCCTGAGCCGCTTCCTCCTCAACCTCTCTCAGCTTAACAAGCCTCTGGTTCAACTCCTGCAACGAGAACCAACCATCTTCTTTCTTCCCTTCTGGTCTATACTTTCTAAGCATCTCCCCAAGCTCCTCGGTATTGTATCTCTTAATAAACTCCGACTTCATCCCCTCAGTCTCATCTCCCTTCTTCCTCCTCTCTTCAAGCTCCTCCCCAAACACTGAAATAGGCAAACCCTCTCCCCCACCAAACACATTCGAACGGACGTTATGTTTGGTCTTCATAATCCCTTGAAGGCTTGAGAGATTAGACCATCTCGTCTCTGCGTTGGCTTGTGGTCTCATCTGCCTTAAGTTTTGCTTTAAGTTCTCAAAAGACGAACTTTCGAGTTTGGGTTTTGAGAGCACCGTTTGCTTGTAGAGATCCTGCAATCCCCTCGCCGGAGGAGGAGGGGGAGCTGATCGGAGCCGGAACTCGTTGAGATTGCGCCTGACGTCTTGAAAGTCTCCGCCGGAAAAGGATTGAGCTTTGTCATCGGATCTGGTTAATTGTCTCCTCCCGTCGTGAGATTGTTGTTTCAGGCTGCTTTTGATGCCGCTGAAGTAGGATGAGATTTTGAAATCGGACGGTGGTTGTTCGCCGGATTCGTTACCGTCTTGGGGAGGTGAGGATGAGGTGGAGAAGAGATGGATCAGAGATGGGTTAGAGTGTAGCCTTTGTTTGCGTCTGGCGAGGTGAAGCGCCATTGAAGCTGAATCTTGGCGGCTACTGATGCTTTTAGGGTTTTTTGGGGGATGATGTAGAGAGTGGAAATGAAAGTGATGGAGATAAACCGGTTATCTGTAAACCGGGAGTTAAGTTAGAAAATGCGAATTTTAAAACCGGGTCAGAGGGAATGGTTTATTTAACTTTCGGTAAAAAAGTGAGAAGACAAGTTTAAAAGTAAAAACCATCATCATCATTAGTACTACTGACTTCAGAAAAGAAAACTAAAATCCTACGTTAGTGAGGTCAGAGATACGGAAGGTTCTTATTCGCTTAGCATTTTTCTTTTCATATTCAAATATGGTATGATTGTATATGCTTATATGAACTATGAACTACTGTAGATGAGAGAGTTTACTGTCCAAAAATGTTATCAATATGCTCTACCGTTTTGACAAATGTAATTACAAAACGGTGAATGCTAGTTCCCTCACGTTGAGGTACATTTTTGAGAGATAGAGAGGGAGGAGACGTATGTGGTCGACTCACATGTCGATCAACGCTTAGCAAAGGATGTGTATTGCACAAACTCATTGATGTCATGACACTTATTGTTTACACTTTGAGGTTAACCACAAAAGGAGTGTATTACTTACCTTTGCAACCAAAACGTGTCTGAAAGTCATTCAATACCAAACATAGTCATTCCTTCCAACTTAATATTATCCAGTTTTAACTCTGGTGTATCAAAAGATTCAATACACCTTCTAAAAACCTAAGGTGAAAAAAGCTCAGGAGCATTTTTGAGGTTCTATTTGACGACTTTTATATTGGTTTTATAGGTTCATTTATTTTCTAGGGGCGCATAGATTATGACGGTCATCTATCTCCATACTTCAAGGCCATTTACAAGCAAGTAGTTGACGTGACTAAGAAACTGAATATAGTCATGAATACAATGGCAAAAATAGAAATTAAAAAAATACTAATACAAAGTCAGTGATATTCGACGTCGATGATACATTTGAAATAAGTTAAGTTTTTTTTTCTCGTCATTTACCATGGCAATTATTTTTTTTGCCAACTCATGTCATGTTAGTTGTTACCATAACTATCTCATCAGTCTATACGCGCGACGTTACCCTACTTCAACTATTCCAACACACGATAGAATAAAAAAAAACATTGCCACAAATGGTCTATGCCACGTATGTATTTAAGTGGGTCCCACACTTATCAAGAAAAAAATAAAAACAAAACTAGCTAGTTCCAATCTAACTCCTCCTCAATATATATATATAACAAAATCCACCCATTAAATTTGACACAGAGATATCTTCCTCTCTACTTTTTCGCCACCATCTCTTCCTCTCTCTCTCTCTCTAAAGCTACCAACGATTCCAACTATGTCCGGGGAAAACTGGACTCAAGTAGCCATGTCTGACGATTCATTAGTGGCTGACGCGCTGCTCCTGCTCCGCCACTCTGAACCGCCACCACCGCCGAAGATGACCGACGTATCTCCTATCAAGCTGAAATGGAGCGTTCGTCAACGGAGATCGAAGAAAGGAGACCAAACGCGAGCTAGCCCCACAACACCTCTTTCCTTGAGCGGTGCCACGTCTCTCAGCGGTGGCGGTGGTGGTGCTACCACCGTGGAAGGTCTTGAGGAGTCCAGCGCCGCCGTCAAACCCTCTGAGACCATTAGATCTAAGGTTTGTCCCGATCATTTCACTTGTCTTGTGATTTTCCCGATTTTTAAAAATAGGCACGTAGACTCGTAGGTAGTTACTGTTTTGTGCATATGTGACGTATACGGTATACATATACCTCGTGATGTGATGTTGTTTGGGCCGATTATAACCATACACAGACGGCCACACGACGAGACCTTTTAGTCATTTAGAGCACCCCCATTAGGGGATTTAAGGGGGGGGGTTCACACGTTTACCGAGGGAAACAGTGACGAACTCGGCGCGCGTGGGTTCGTCGTGGTGAACCCGGTTCGTCACGAGTTGGTCCGTGATTCGCCAATTTTTTTTTTTTTTTTTTTTTTTGAAAAAGTAAACGAAAAAAATAAAAAGAAAAAAATAATAAAAAAAAAAATAGGTGGCAAACCCCACCTCAGTATTACTGGTGGGGATGCTCTTAGCATCCACGATCGGCCTACTCTTGATGATAATTATCATGTAGGTACACCGACTTTTAGTTGACCAAAATACCCCCACCGTGGACTCAATATTAGGCAACTTGAGGATGTTTCTCTTTCTTTTCTTTTCCAAGAAACTAGTATCTAAGAGCACCCACATTGATGAACCCCCATTGGAGGTTCATAGAAATAAAAAAATAATTTTTTTTTTTAATTTTTGTTTACTTTTTTTAAAAAAAAAAAAAATTAATTTTGGACCAATCATATGTTGACACGTGGTGAACCCGGGGTCATCGGAGTTCACCGCAGTGAACTTTTGAGAGAGGGGTTCATAGAAATCTGATTTTAATATTATTTTTTTTTTTCGGTTTCCGTGTGAACTCCCCCCATCAACCCGTTGATGGGGGTGCTCTAACTTTCTAGATATGTAGATTTGGTTGTCTTCTTGGAAACACTTCTTGATTCGAGTTTTAAAACTCGGTGATCTCTGCTTTTTATTTGCTCTTTTTGCAAAACAAAGAGTCACGTTTTCCCACTTTTGGTGCATCCCAGTCATATCTCTTTCTGCTTTTACGGAAAGACTAAAATGTCCTCACCTCAAGGGAAATGCTTTTGGTCAAAATCACACATTCATTAACAATTTTAAATGACAAAAGCACCCCCTTGTCAGCAGATGAGCTCTTTTTACGCGGTAAAAGTGTTGTCCCGGTCAATGCGAGAGATTATCGGTTGGTTTGGAAGGCGTTTTCGTGGAATTTTATCTACGTTTTAGAAGAGTATGATGAGTGGATTAGGTACGTGTGTGAGGGCAGTTATCAGATGTGGCGCATTGTCAGTGGTCAAAGTCAGTTGTTGCAAAGTGATTCAGTTCTTGTCCGTCAAGTTATATTGCTGACAGGCAGTTGAGTTAAGCCAATTTATGTAAAACAAAACATTAGTTAGCTAAGATTGTTTTCTGATCTTTAAAATTGACTTTGATCGGTGGTTATAATTTCTTTTCTTCTGAGAGCTAAAGTAGAGAGTCTTCAACTTAAGAAGAAGGGGAATTTTTGGGTTTATTAAAGAAATATTTGAAAAATGATTAATAAGGACAAGTGGGTTCTGTGGAGAAATACGTGACACTAGTTTGGTTTTGAGGAGGAAAAAGCATGACGTGTGAATGGGACGACCAAACACACGCCGTTTAAGTTCAAGAACTCACGCTTCACTCACGTGATTCTATGTTTTCTCTTCTTTTTTTTTTCTTTCTTTGGAGGACATAAGTTGTTGACCAAGAAAATTCTGAAAACTTACACGGTTTAGAAGTTTTCAAAGTTGTTATTTGTTAATGTTAACTAAAGAGGTGATTCTTTTCTTTCCACCTTATCGTGCCTCTAAAGTCATCTCTTGAATGGTAGGTGTGTTGTTTCTTTATTAAGAATGATATAGCAAACAAAACTAATTTGTTTTTATGGTATTAGTTTGGTGGTGACTATTGATTAATATTTGATTTCTGAGCTGGCTTTTTTTTCTGGTAGTATATCGTAAGTCGTAAGCCATAATCTGAGTTTTTGGCTTTTGGTGTCCAGGTTTCTCAAACTAGTGCAATAACAACGACATTGTTCAAGAGATCAAGGAAGAAAAAGGTAAAAACAGAAAATGACTGTTTCTTTCACTGTTTAAAAGACCAGACTGATCCATGTCTTATATGAATATGTTTAGACATATAGTCTCAAGTTCTGCCAAGGAATCTTGTCTTTTCTAACTTTGGTCGGATATAAATGTGTCGTTGTGGGCAGACTTTGGCGGAGCTTAAACATGAAGAAGTCATGCTCTTGAAGGAAAGCAATGGCCTGAAAAATGTACAAACCTACTTTTTGCTTTCTTCTGTGTCTCTCTCTATATATTAGGTCTGTGTGCTAATCTTAGTATCGGTTAATATTTTTTTCTTAATCAGGAATTAGCAAGTATGCGCGATTTGGTCCAGCAACAAAGAGCAAGAAACAATGCTTTAAAGAAGATGAAGGTGAGTCTATTTTTCCCTGTCTCTCTAGACTACTTACTTGTACCCATGTAACTGATCAAGTAGATCATATTCATATGCATGCAGGCTGAGTCACAATCTACCTTGTCCTGCAAACAAGGCTCCTCCTTCTTGCTCCCTGACCTAAACATGCCACTAGATACCGACACGAGCCCTGAAGTTATGTGCTGAACGACGAGCCATAATCATATTATTCTTTAGTTTTTCCGATAACACCTAGACAACTATACCTCCTTCCCACGAATATGTTTTTAGCTGTGTACTATATGAGTAATGAACAAGATAGATTAATCCTGTATAACCCATTTAGCCATTCCCGGTGGCCTCTGTAGAAGATCACCTCAAGGTGAGGTGATTTGAGTTTATGTTTCTTGACATATCCTCTTCTCTAGCTGGTAGTATATATTTTTTTTGCTCTGTTATTCTCCCATTTTTACAGGATGAGATGTAATTACCATCATAGATAAATACACTTTCCTATATTTTCTTATTATCTTTTAGTAAGATTCACTGCAAGATCAGATTCCTTTTCTATCAATTTGTAATTTGATTAACGAATTAATATTATTTCATTATGTCATGTGATGTCTCTCTACTGTCTTTAAAATCTCCAATTGCTAATTTTGGTTCATATTGTTAAATCCAAAACAATCAGTCCTAAAATGTAATTTATTAAGAACTATAAGGGCTATTAACAGTTGACTTTAAAGCTAAAACCCTAGAGTTAAGTTTAGTTTCAGCTTCACTGTCTTAACGACTATTTTACTTTCTCCGACCAAAAGCACACGAAATGGCGTCTCTTGGCCAAATCACGCTCCCGCGAGCGCCGTCATTGGAGATGAGCCTCCTACGCCGTCGATTTAATCAACCAATCAAAACCCGAATCGGATTCAACGGCCGGATCGTGAGCAAGCAAGCGCAGGTTTCGGTGAAAGCGAGCGTGAGCCAGAAGGTGATCGAAGAAGAGGCGAGAGTTCTGGTGGGCACATACGCACGTGCCCCCGTGGTGCTCTCGAGTGGGAAAGGTTGTAAATTGATGGACGCAGAAGGGAAAGAGTATTTGGATTGTGCATCTGGAATCGCTGTGAATGCTTTGGGACATGGAGATCCTGTTTGGCTTCAAGCTGTCACTGACCAAGCTTCTCTTCTTGCCCACGTCAGCAATGTCTATTACACCATTCCTCAGGTATGCATTTAATCCTAAGGTTGGAACTTGTGTCTAGGCCTTATACCACGTTACTAGAGTTTGACATGTGTAGTTTGTCTACAGATAGAACTAGCAAAACGACTTGTGGCAAGTTCTTTCGCAGACCGTGTATTCTTCTGTAACTCTGGAACAGAAGCCAATGAAGCAGCCATTAAGTTTTCTAGAAAGTTCCAGAGATTCACTCATCCTCAAGACAAGGAAGTCGCCACGAGATTCATCGCATTTACGAATAGTTTCCATGGAAGAACCTTGGGAGCTCTTGCCTTGACAAGCAAAGAACAGTACAGAACTCCGTTCGAACCCATCATGCCTGGCGTTACATTCTTGGAATATGGCAACATTCAAGCTGCTACAGATCTTATCAGGTCGGGTAAAATAGCTGCAGTGTTTGTGGAGCCTATTCAAGGAGAAGGAGGAGTTTACTCTGCTACAAAAGAGTTTCTACAGTCTCTTCGCTCTGCTTGTGATGCTGCTGGATCTCTTCTCGTCTTCGATGAGGTAACATATATCATATTGTAATATCTTGAAAGTTCTTGACTAGTGCTGGGAATTTGGGTTTCCGGTTTGGATCGGTTTAGGTTATTTTGGCTGGGGAGTTTAACCCATTTAGGAACCGGACACATTTTTCGGTTCGGGACGGGTTTCTATTTTTTTTATAAAATCTGAACGCAAGCGAGTTAGAGAGTTAGAAATAGTTTGGGTTTGGTTCGGATTTAAAGTGAAGAAAAACCGAGTTAAACCTGGAAAAACCGGAAAATATTAGGGTAATTTGGTTAATTAAGGATTTTTAATTTTTTAAATAAATTATATTATATATAATTAAAATAATTAATTTTATTATATTTGAATACTTGAGTACACATTCGGTTCCAGCTCGGTTTCAGGTTTAGAAAAATAAGAACTGCTTGGTTTTTTGTAAATTTCGGTCCAGTTTTTGTTCAGTTCGGTTTTCGGGTTTGAAATAATATGCCCAGGACTGTTCTTGACTTTGATCTTGTGTTTTTTTGGTCTCTTCTGCTTCTCCAGGTTCAGTGTGGTTTGGGTCGAACCGGTAACCTTTGGGCATATGAAGCATTTGGTGTAACACCTGACATAATGACACTCGCAAAGCCATTAGCAGGTGGTTTACCAATTGGAGCGGTGCTTGTGACTGAAAAAGTTGCTGAGACCATCAAATATGGAGATCATGGAAGCACATTTGCAGGGAACCCTCTTGTGTGCAGTGCAGCCATTGCTGTTTTTGATAAAGTATCCAAACCCTCTTTCTTGTCTAGTATCTCGAGCAAAGGTCTATACTTTAAGGATCTGTTGGTGGAAAAGTTAGGAGGAAACGTGCACGTGAAGGAAGTGAGAGGAGAAGGGCTTATCATTGGAGTGGAGCTTGATGTGCAGGCAGGACCATTGGTGGATGCTTGCCGTGATTCTGGTCTTCTGATATTGACGGCAGGGAAAGGGAATGTCGTTAGGATTGTTCCGCCGTTGATCATATCGGAGGAGGAAATCGAACGTGCGGTTGAGATTATGTCTCACAATTTAAATGCGCTTGACTGAATATTGAGGTAGAACATAAATGTTCCTCGATTATGGACTGTGTTTTTAAAATTCTATACTTTTCTTAAATAAGCTCAAGTGTATCAGTAAATTGGCCTGTTAAAATTCATAACTGCTGTTTCTTGGTTTTTTCATGATTGAATTTGTATAGTTCTTTTTTGATAGGGTATTAGTAATATTCAAACAAACAAAGATTCTAGTACATTGGAATACGCTAACAACCAGTAATAAGCTGCCATACTAGAGTTGAGCCATTCTTTTGTTCTTGAATATTAAGATATGTGTTTCGTGCATGCCAAGTTTCTACTAAAATGAAGACAACATGTGATATGTTGTTGACATGGTTCGCATACGAAAGAATCAGAGGTGGAAGAATAAAAAGAATTGTTTCTTCTGTACGCTCGTGGTGTTAGCTAACTTGGCATGCGCGAAAGGTTTCTTCTGTACGCGGAGCACGACTTTTGCTGCTGAGAAAAGGGACTTGACTCAAAACAACAAAGAGGGTAATTCGTGTAAGTTAGTGACCAGTCACTTCGTGTTGTGACTCAGAGAAGATATGGAGCCGGAGCCACTTGAGCTGTGAGGGATAAATTGTGCAGAACAGAGAAGATGTGGAGCCGGAGAATGCAAATTTCTTTATCTGAGCATGGACTTTGTTTGCCCTGTTTGGAATGGTTACTTGACTTACTTCATTTTTGCCAGTTTTTTATTTTTCTAAAAAAACTCGGATTAAGATTTTAATGTCTTAGACTCTATAATATAATATGAGGTAAAAATATATATGTACAGTGAAAATGTACATTCTCTGTAAATGTATAAAGATGTGTTATAGTTATAGTAATGTGTTAAATATGTATTTTATAATAATTACTAAATGTTAATGATTTAATTCTAAGTTTTAAGCTGATGACTATCTTTTTTTTTTTGAACAACTGCTGATGACATCTATACGGTGTTAGTCCGAGCAATTTCCACGATCAAATCTATAACGTGCGGAATCATGTATATCTTATAATAATATATATACACCAATAGAATACCATAAATTAAGCTTGATTCATCAACTGACGTCATTCAGTGTAAGCACGTGAGCTAATAGAAGCCAAACTCAAATGTTAGACTTTTTTAAAAAATGTTAAAAGACTTTGAAGTACCGTCAAAAGTTCACGAAAGGAAGGAATCAAAGGTTTTGTGGGGTCGCTATTTTTTGTCTGGTTTGATCAATTTGTATTTTACTTGACGGTTTTAGGTTGGAAAGTATATAGAATGTAGGGCAAAGGTCCTCGTGTGAAAACAACGAAACATTCAACGCTTCCACCAAATGTAAAATTAAAATAGTTTATTTTTTATAGCAATAACTAATCTTGTAGAATCTATAAATAACGTACCCAAAATTCAAAATGGGACATAGCTACAACTTTAGAAACATACTTCTTCTTGCTCTCTTCTAACTCCTAGACTCTCAATCCACGAACATGTTTCACGGCGCTGACAAGGCAGTCGAGGCGCTGCTTCGTGGCCAAGAAAGCGCTAATCTCTTGAAGACAGTGCTCGAACACCAGAGGACAAGCTTAGTTTCAATCGAGACCCTCTTCGATACCGTTCTTGATTCCTTCTCCTTTGCTCTCTCTCTTTTTACATCTTCTAACACTCAGCCACACCGTGACTCTTCTCAGAGCAAGGCAGCCTCGGTGACGGCCCGTAAATCTCCCAAGAAGTAATTGACTAACAAAAAAACCAATACTTGAATCTTATTAATTATTAATAAACGTTTGATTTGATCGTTGCGAATATACCATGTTGCAGAAACACTAGTGGAGAAGAACAATACAGCCATGATTCACCAACTCCGCTTCACAACGACGGTTTTACTTGGAGGAAGTACGGACAAAAGAACATCAAAACCTCTTCCCACCAAAGGTTTGAAAGCAAAAAAAAAATTCAAAACAGAGTATTACTCTGTTTTATTGAGTACTCTTTGTAGCTAAATAATGAGTTTCGGACTTTCACAGGTGTTACTATCGTTGCGCCTATGCCAAAGACAGAAACTGCGAGGCTATGAAGCGGGTGCAACAGATCCAAGACAGTCCTCCCGTGTACAGAACAACTTATGTCAGAAAACATATCTGTGAGGCTAATGTTTTTTTGCTACCTAATGACGATATTATTATTAACGGTTCCAATATGATTCGGTTCGACAAATTCGACCAAGCCATGCCTGAATTGGTCATGCCTCAGCTCGCTCCGGTAGAACAACAGGCAATAACAATCGAAGAAGACACGGACCAAATCATGAACCTAGAATTTGATATTGACGAGTTTGTGGTGGATGATGACCAGTTATGGGGGTATCAGTTTCCTCCGTTTTCTCCTGGAAATTTTATGTTTTTGGACGATATGTCTGAGTTTGATTACAATCATTCCCAACTTTGATTGAAGAAGCACTTCTTCTTATGTTGTTGTATGATATTTGCTATATCTTGTATTATAGTTTATATTTTGGTGTGTTAGATTCCTACTTCGTCACACCGTTTTTTGCGTCACCGGTTTACGCCAGCGTTGTGACTTATCTGTTTCCGTTTGATTCAAATATTAAAAACAACTACTGTTTTTTTTTTGGTGCTAAAATGTCAATATTTATAATACGAAAAAAAACATAGAGGATTTTACAAGGCTAGTTGGCAAAAAAAAAAAAATAATAACAAGAACACAATGGAAGATTGGGTAGTTGATTCACTGAATCCATAAAATGGTTGAGTGTGCAGCAAGCATCCTTAGTGTTGGAGAGAGGTGCTGCTGTGGAGCTTATCATTGGAGTGGTAGAGGGCTTATCATAGAAGTGTAGCTTGATGCGCAGGCAAGTCCATTGGTCGATGCTTGCCGTGATTCTGGTCTTCTGATCTTGACGGCAGAGAAAGGGAATGTCGTCAGGATTGTTTCCGCCGTTGATCATATCGGAGGAGCAGATCGAACATGTCGTTAAGAGTATGTCCGACAATATAACTGCGCTTGATTGAATATCTGAGGTTGAACATGTCATCGACTTTAGTCTCTGTTTTTTCAAACTCTATACTTTTCTTGGTTAAGCTCAAGCCTACCAGTAAAAATTGCCGGTTCTTGAATATTTGAGGTTGAACATGTCATAGCTCTTGTTTTTGTATTAAAAATTTTATTAGCTTTTCTGAGACAATATGCTACTATATCTCCAGTGTAGTGTTCTTAATTCCATAAGAAACTGGTAAATACCATTCAAAAACTTATATTATGAATAAAATACTATAGATTTTTTGATGAAGTAAACCAGAGAATATTGGATTTTTTTTCTTCTGAAAGCTGGTTTAAGAATATCGGAATTGTAACAATGTTTCCTCTTTTGAAAGGATTCATATTTTAGGTGTACGAAAAAAATCATGTTTTAGGAAAAAACTAAAGAAACATGACAGCATTACATGACATATATAAGGCATTTCGAACTTCTATCCACTTTTCAGTATAAAATAGAGTTTGGAAGAAAATAACTCCAACCCTACTCCATTTTTACTAGATATAATAGAATAAAAATATGTTTACTCTGTAACTTAAAATAATTTATTTGAGTTTTTGGTTATCATATTATTTTTCATTTAAAAATAAAGAATCACTACAGTAAAAACCAAATTTATTATAGAGTTACATAGTTAGTCTATTTTGAGGAGAAAAACGAATCTATTAGAGATGGTTTAGGATGATGCTTAGATGAAAATATCAGACTTTATTGACATACATTTCTACATTATCTTATCCTAACGATTTACAATTATATAAGTGGCTAGATTGTATCATCTATTTTATGACCATCGCTACTTTAATATTGTAAGAATATCTTAAAACTTAGAAAATCAATGATAGAGCTTTTGATGGGGACTTGCAGATAGTTGTTTAGACTAAGATTAAACTATTTCAGTTTTTTTTTAAAAAGTAAACAAATCTACAAAATAGTTAATTAATTGATGAAGCGATATAGTAGTCAATTTTCCACGCTCAAACCTCAAACGCGTGCATTTGCAATATCGTCCTTGACTGTTACATGTAGAGTGGAAAAGCGTGATCGTATGTATGCCTGGAAAGGATACTCGAAATAGTATTGAGTGTTAGCTTTGGTCTTCTTCAATAAATTAAACTTTGTTTCTTTTCTTTCCTTCTATTCATTCTTTTCTCGGTTGCTCTTTTCTATGTTCAGAGTGTTGTGTTGTTTGGTCTTACTATTTTGTGTAGAAGTCATCCGCGGTCTATGGCTCTAAAAAAAGAAGTTTTTTTTCTGCTGGCTTTTTGATTATGAGAATCCAGAATTCGCCGGTGCTGGTTCAGTATCAATCCAATTTTTAATGGTGGACCGTTTGCAGCTCATTTTTTTATGAATATATTATAAACAGTTGAAATACTTCAATTATTTATTTTGCCTAGCTTTATCAAAAAAGTTAAACTGAAAAGTTTGCATACAGCCAGCTCATATGGTTAAAGTAATTTACTGGTGTTCACTTAATTATATATATCCTGCTTTATATTAGTGTTATCGTAAACTTATGCTATGTTACAACAAGCATGTGGATACATCAACAGGAGCAATAATGATTAGTTTACAAAAATTTAAGTGATTTTTCATTTCATTTGTTATTTATAGAGGAAAATGTTGTGTAGGATAAATCGAGTGAACATTTCTGTAGACTCTTTTTTGGGTAATGATATATTATTGTTAAATTATAACGGCTTATACTAGGTCTTAGTCCACCGCCCAACGGCAAAGGCATAAGGAGTTTTATTTTTATAATACCAACTTAGGACGAAAGTAACGCCAACAAAAGACCTATCCCAGCCAATAGAAATATAGGCAGGTAGATTCCACGCAATGGTTCGCCCTCCATATCTTCCCACGTCTATAAATACAACGAAGCTTCAAAAAATAACAGAAAACAAGTTTTGAAACAAAACACTTCTTGCTCTTGAAGTCTTGAGACTTCTCCACAGCTCTAAACAAAAAAAAATGTCTAACGGTGTTGAGAAGGCGGTTGAGGCGCTGCTTCGTGGCCAAGAAAGCGCTTACCGCTTGAAGACCGTGCTCGAACATTCAAGCTCAGCTCCAACCGAGCCTCTCTGCGAGACCGTTCTTGATTCCTTCTCCTTTGCTCTCTCTCTTTTTGCATCTTCTAACCGCGAGTCTTCTCGGAGCAAGGCAACCACACCCGTGGTGGCTCGAAAGTCTCCCAAGAAGTAATTAACTAAAACAAAAAAAATCTATACTTGTTTATGGTTGATGGATGTTTGATTTGAACGTTTTGATTATTTGATGTTACAGAACCGGCAATGGAGAAGACGGTCCAGAGCACTACAGAGATGATTCACCAAATCCGATCCACGACGATGGTTTTTCTTGGAGGAAGTACGGCCAAAAGAAAATCAAAACCTCTTCCCACCAAAGGTTAGAGAAAAAAACACACAAGAGTATTTCTCTGTTTTTTGCTCTGTTTTATTAACTGAGTTTATCTTTTAACAGGTGTTACTATCGTTGCGCCTATGCCAAAGACAGAAACTGCGAGGCTATGAAGCGGGTGCAACAGATCCAAGACAGTCCTCCTGTGTACAGAACAACTTATGTCAGAAAACATATCTGTGAGGCTAATGCTTTTTTGCTGCCTAATGACGAAATTGCAAACGGTTCCAACATGATTCGTTTCGACACATTCGACCAGGCCATGTCTGAATTTTTCAGGCCTCAGCTCACTCCAGTAGAACAAGAAGCAATTGTCAACCAAGGCGAGGATGGCACGGACCAAACCATGGACCTAGAATGTGACAGTAACGAGTTTTTGTTGGATGATGAACAGTCATGGAGGTATCAGATTCCTCCATGTTCACCTGGAAATTTTATGTTCTTGGACGATCTTTCGGAGTTTGATTACAATCCTTTCCACCTTTGACAGAACAAGCACCTATTTCAAGCTGATTATGTTCATTCAGGGTAGACTATGTCGTATATTTTGTATTAGTTTATGTTTGAGTGTGGTGTGTTAGATTCATGAATGGTGACATAGTCCTCGCGTCACCAAACATACGTCAGCGTTGAGACGTATCTGTCTCCGTTTGATTCAAATATTGTAAACAACTACTGTTCATCTTTTGAATGATATAACGGGACTTTATTCTATATTGCCCCACTCACTCCCATCTTCATTCTATTTTAACCCATCATAAATTTGATTTTTTTTTCTTTCTCAAAATCAAAACGTGATTAAAAAATCAATAACCTTTAATGAATTAGTATTATATGTAATATGAATTACTAGAAACTACTTTGAATTACTTTGAATTACTAGAAACTACCTTGAATTACTAGAAACTACTATGAACAAAAAACAAACTACCTTGAATTACTAGAAACTACTACGAACAAAAAAAAAGTGGGGCAGTGAGAAAAATGGTGGGGTAGTGAGAATAGTTATTTTCTAACTGGGGTATATTAGAATACTTTCCGATATAACGAGGGTTTATATAGCTCGTCAAACGCGTCATTTGACTCTAATTTATATTCGTTGAGAATTGCTCTATAGACTACAGTAAATAACATAAGAAAAGAGTTTTCAAGACGATAATTAAAAATGAAACTAAATTTTTGATTCAGTTAAAATGATTTTAGTTTTATATATCCATAAAAAGATCACATCCATAAGACGATTACATTTGGACTACAACTCGATTATTATATTTTTTTTGAAATAAAAATGATGTGAAATAATTTATTTTATTAAATTTAATTTGAATACAATCAAAAATTTATTCCATTTAAATAAATGAAATATGAAAAATTATTCTATAACGAATTTGATGAATAGAAAAAATAAATCTCTTCCTTTTCGCTTATATTTCATTCATGTTAATACATTTTATCTCATCAATTTTTATCACATTTAATTTGCTGGTTGCAGCGTTGAATGTATAACGGAAATGGAAAGTTCCCAAGTCTTTCATAAGGTCAAATAAACTAACGGATGATAACTAATATGGAACTTGTTGGAATATTGACAAACGAGTGAAGAGTCAACATGCGGACTACCGTACTCGTAATACTATGGAGCTGTCTGCTCCTGTGCGAGTCATGACTTTGCGAGTGATCTTCTCGCTGGATCTCGAAGGCAATTATAAAACAGAAACTTGAATTAGATTATTGTATTCTAACCAGTTTTGTCAAGTTTCGACGGCTTAGGAAATTAACAATTAAGTTTTTATTTGCTTGATGATGGACCCATTACCTAATCTATCCGAGTAGACAGAGAAAAAAACATAGCATTATCTTTCTTTTTCGCAAATACTTTTCTTTTTACCAAATATATGCTTTATACATAATATTATGAATATCAAAATACATCATACATGTGTATAGTCAGTCCATCTCAGAAATTTTTTATACTAGAATCATAAAAAAATTAAAATATAATTTATAAACCACAAAAACTACAAATGTACAATCTATTTTTCTTATGAATGTAAAAACAAAAAAAAAACATTTGTACTTGCCTTTTTGTTTAATGTTTTGTGTTTTTAGAAATTTTAAGAAAAAAAACAGAGCAATAATGAAAAATGAATTCATCTCTATCTCTAAAATCTTCCCAAACCTAATCACACGATCCTAACATTTCCACTTTACACACATTTATAACAGTGTCATTGTTAAAAAATATATAGAAAACCAACCAGAATTTTAACTAGAAAATAATAGTAGAGTATGAATTGAAAACTCTAACCCGTATCGTAAGAAAGAGGAACATAATTTTTTTTTAAGTTTACTTATTTTTTTAATGTTTCTATATTATAAATTATTTCGGACTAATACAATTTAGGCTTAAACTAACATATTACTAAACTTTAAACTAACAAAGTGCGTTTGATGATTTTATATTTTTGGTAATTATAGGAAAATGAGGTTTAAAACTAATATAAATCCAAAGTTTTAATGATAAAAAGTATAAATATTTTTGTTTTACAATTAAATTTTATCTTTAATGTTTAGAAATTGTATTTGTGGGGTCAAATATTATTCTCAGTGAGGTCAATATAAATTTCACTTTAATTTTTTTTTTCTTTTTTAAAGTAGTGGATATTTTTTTTTAAAAGTAGTGAGGTTAGCTGACTCCTCTCCTGTTAAGCTGTCTCTGCCCCTAATTGTAAGCATCCTCATGTCAATGTATAATGTATATTTTGCATCCTGTACAAACATAATTCAGAAATATTGAAAGCTTCCTCATGTCAATGTATAGCACACCTCAAAGATTGTAAGCATCCTCATCTCACTGTTTCAGTCATTCTACAATATAAATTTGTAGGGTTTTTTTAAGCAAAGGCTTAATAACTTTGTAGGTTTTCCTTTCCCCCCATGGAAATTATACATATAAGCATGTTCCATGGCTTATAAATATATATATATATATATATATATAAACAACATATATATTTTCATTGTTTCAATAGTTTACAGTCCAACCAATGTATAATATATGTGGGTGGCAATATGTCCATGCCTATATATATTTTACTTCAAATACACATGCATATTTTACAATACCTTTTCCTTTTCAATTACATGCATTATTATCGGTTCGAACCACTGGCTATTGACGAGACAAACGGGTGTCATCGTTGGCGTAAGCCTGTCTACTCAGTTTTCTACTTTAACTTCATTTTGATATATATAGGCAGTAAAACTTATAATCATAAAAAAAAACATTAAGAAACTTTTAAAGATAGTTGATTGACCAAAAAAAAAACTTTTAAAGATAGATTAAGGATACTTTTTAAAATAACATTCCTATTTCACACAGGTTTCATGGAGAGGATTTTCTCATTACCCAATACAAATGCAGATCTTAAACAAAATGTTCAACGGGTTGACAAAACAAAATGTTCAATGGTTCACACACGTATACCTGTATATGCTACTGTATACACGTAGAGAGAAGTTCCCTTACTAGTCATTACTTGCTCAGCTTTTGTAGATTTTAGTTTCGGCTGAGTGCTAATACCTAATTCCTAGGTTCCTCTTTAGAAGAAGCAAGATCTATATTTAACTATTCACAAAAAAAGCTACACCGATCCCATGATTTATGCACCCAGCTTCTGTATCCTATGTTAATAACTACCTCTATCTGACCCAACAACTAATATTTTACATAGACACTGGAACTTTAGTCAGTCATTTAATTCTAAACCAATGTATAGTCGTATCCCAAAAGTAAAAACAAATGGATAATGTATTAAAGACAAACTAAAAGTTAAGAACCATGTTCAACAGACCAAGAACATGTTCTCTACATTTCACCAAGGATTAAAAGAAAATACTTCATTCATATTCTTGAACATAAAACAACCAAACCAAAAAAAGACATTAAGCAAACTAAGTGACTAAAAGTTTCTAAATAATCCTAAACCCAACTTCAAATCAACCTCTAAGCCCATTTTTTCAAGATTGTTAAAAGGACTAATCACGTTCCCATCATTACTAGAAGTTAAGTTCCTAGTGGTATCACTGAACAATTGTTCAACCGATGTGACTTTAACACACTTCCTCACATTCGCCTTCTTCTTCTTCTTTAACCGATGTGACGTTGACGACTGAGTCTCAGCTACCTCCTCCGGGAAGACCGGATGAACCACGAAGTTAGTCTTGGCTTTGGTCCCTCTAAGCCTCATCGCCGCAGCGTCATACGCACGTGCAGCCTCCTCCGCCGTGTCGAACGTTCCTAACCAGTGTCTGCACTTCCCTATCCTGTCTCTTATCTCCGCAGACCACCTCCCCCACGGACGCTTTCTCACTCCTCTGAACCCTCCGTTCTTCTGCGGTATCTTCCTCCACCGCTTCACGCCGTCTGCTGTCTCCGTCGCCGTTAAGTTCTCAGAGACTTGTTTGTTGTTATTATTACCGAGCAAAACGTTTTCACCCACTATGGCCCCGATGGAATCATCCAACACCCGACGCTGGTTTGCGGGTTCGAGTTTTGGGTCAGGAGAGAATAGAGAAGTGATATCAAACGTATCAGGTCCGTTAAAGGGCTCCGTTACAGTGAGATTAGAAAAGGGCATGCAGACTAACGGCGTCTCTTTGTATAACCCATACGTTTCTAAGCTTTGATGGGTTTCGACGCCGGAGCTTAACGGAAATGAAAGTTGGAGACGGTGAGCATCAACCGTGTTTTCCATTTTGCGGCGAAAGATATAAGGAAAAATATAGTTTTGTATGGAAATTGTGTGTTTGGGAAGCATTTTATAGACACAAAACAACTACTACATGATTAAGTAATTAATTTCCTCTAACAAATGTTTTATTATAATAAATTCTCTATATATTAATACTCGATAAATTAATTATATTTATATATTAATAAATTTCGCCAGTTCTATCTTATACTGATTTAAAATTTGATATAAATCAATAAAATAATAAAATAATATATATATTTTTTAAAATATATAAATATACTAATTTTTTAAAATTATAAATGTATATATATTTTATATAAAAAATTAATCCTTATATTATTTGTTTTATATTCCCAATGCAATCATTTTTATATTTTTAACATATAATATATTTTTTTATAACATTTAATAATATTATATCTGAAATTACATTCAAATTTTATGCAATATATATTACAGTGATTTAGTGAACTACCCATATTTGAAGCTCAAATTAGTAAAATACCATTGATTGGACATGACGGACACTGACACAACCATTTGGCAAGGAAATACCGATAATGCCCTTTCTCTTTCCTCTCATTAACACGAAGCGTAAAAACATTTGTTAACATATAACACTTTTGTTAACGTCTACAATATTTGTTAACAGCCAACACATTTATTACCGCGAAGCGTAAAATAATTGTTAACAGTTAACACTTCTGTTAACGTCTACAATATTTGTTAACAGCGAACACATTTATTAACGCGAAGCGTAAAAATAATTGTTAACACCTAACACTTCTGTTAACGTCTACAATATTTGTTAACCGCTAACACGACGTCGAATCTAAAACCCAGCAAATTGATATCATCAAAAAATTGAGGATTCAAAGCCACTTATGAAAAAATAATGAAATTTAAAATTTAATTCTATATAGAATGATAGAGATTTGTAAAATAATTAGAGACTGAAGAGAAAAAAAGAGTCAAAATTGAGGATTCAAAGCCACTTATGAAAAAATAATGAAATTTAAAATTTAATTGTATATAGAATGATAGAGATTTGTAAAATAATTAGGGATTGAAGAGAAAAAAAAATAGGGGAGATGTCAAAGAGAGGAGAGAGAGTGTAGAAAATGGCAAAATGGTCCAAAAGAAAGTGATTGTCACATCATGGGCAATTATCTAATTATAGGTGGCAAATAGGACACTTTAGTCAATTATCTCTATATATTATACATACCAAATAATATAATCAAATTAATATTTATATACGAAATCACTATTTTTTATTTTAGAATAAAATTATCGTTAAAACAAAAAAAATCTAAATAATTTTTTTTTTTGTAAATTAATATCTCTATAAATTAAAATTTTTTAAAGTCTCAATATTATTAATTCATAAAAAAATTATTGTATTTTCTTATTTGTTTCTTCAGATGTAAATTATTAATGGTTGGGAGGGAAGTAAAATCATGAAAAGATTATTGTAAAAGTATATTTATATAGTGATATAATCAAAAGATACTGCTGTCAATTCGATAGATGAGACTGTAAATCTTTCACAGTTCATAGAGTAAGATTTGTACCTTTTGCTCTTTAATATACGAAGACAATCTTTTAAAAATTTAAATTAAATGAGTTCAATTTACTTTTGCTTCTCAAACATATGATTCATATCATCAGAAAACCTTTAAGTTTTAGTTAGGATGTTAATCGTTTTTTTTGTTTCTCAAACATCTGATGATATATTTCTATATTATCAAACTTGGAACAAAGTAAATGACCTTGTCTGAAACTGCAAGGAAGTAATTAAATAGATTTTTGACACTACAGTAACTTAGACACCACATAACTGTTGATTAACAAAATAATTACACTTTTGACAATCTTTGTTTTTCATTTAGCCTATAACTTTTCTATTTCAAAATTATTAAACTATGTGTTACACATATTGAAAAAAGTGTTTTTTGATTGAATATATTAAATTTTTTTTTTTAAAAAAATTACACTTTTGACAATTTGCATCAAGCTGACTATCAACCAAGGGATAAGTTGGGCATTGTAAAAGTGTTAAGGCCAGTAAATCAGAAGAAACCATCAACAGCATATTCATACGATTTGTTGATTTGACTTGTTGGAAATGACATCCGTTTCATTACGTAAGGCTCGTGTTCTCTTACTCTTGCTGGCGTCAACAGACACGATTGTTTTGATTGCATCTCACTTTTAATAAGTATTGAACCTTTTTTTTTTGTCAATATGTATTGAACTTAAATTTTTTTAAAATAACAATATTTTATTTGATCATATCAAGAGATATTTTACTTTAGTAGAATATAAACCACTGTATATATCTTAAGAATCAGTTTGACAATGCAAGTTTCACACTCACACAATTAAGAATCAGTTCGACAATGCAAGTTTCAAATTCAGACAATTAACGTATCTAAACATCAGCTGTAATATGGAACAAAATTACAACAAGACTATATGTTCTAGCATCTTCATATTAATGATTATTATAGAGAAATTTCATAAAGATGACTCTAATTTTTTTAATCACAAATATAACCCCACAAGAATCTAATCTTAATTTAGTTCAGATTTAGAAGTTTATAAGAGGTGATTGTTTATAGTTTTTGGATTAGTTTTTTGTTTTGTTTTTCCAGAAATCAATTTTCACCTCAAAATTTTCACAAAATGGATTTTCTATAATGTAGAGAAACTAGTTTTTGCAAATAACTGTTTTTAAACATAAAAACCAAAAATGGATTTTCTATAATGTAGAGAAACTAGTTTTTGCAAATAACTGTTTTTAAAACATAAAAACCAAAAACCAAAAACCAAGTTTTCATAGTTTCCTTTAAGCTTAAAATGTTTGCAATTTTAAAAATATATATTTTTACTATATTTATGCCTTAATAGAAGAAAAACAATAAAAATAATAAATTACTATCAGAAAATAAGGTTTAGCAAGAATCATTTACTTGATGTAATATGAAAATAATTTAGATTAAGAATATTTTTAAAACTTTTCAATTTAAAAATATAATTTCAAATTGTGATTTTGTCCAAAAAAATTAAATTCTAAATTTAAATATCTAAAAATAACAAACAAGATAATAATTAATTATTTTTTTAAAAAAATAAAAAAAATAAAGGGAATCTTAAAATTCAGAATTCAAAATATATTTTATAAGTTTTTCCACAATAATAAAAACAATATAATTAATTTTCATTTAGTATGTTTAATTAATAAACTAACTATCAATTGTATAATATTTAATATGTCTAGAATTAAATAGTACTTTCAAATCTAATATTGATAATTAGTTGTATAATATTTGAATAATAGAATATTTTTTAAATATAACAAATTTTACTTTGTTTAAAATTTTAATTTTTAATTATGTATTATCTTTTTAAATGCATTAGTTATGTATCGTAACATATAGTTTTTTTGGGCAACTCATCTTAAAATATAAGGTGTGATTAATTACTTTAAAATAACACTAAAGAGATTAAATATTATCCATAGCATTTATCAGAATATTCAGTATTTTCATAGAGGTTAACCCACATATTTCAAGATAAGTATGAAAATATAATATTTTTGTTTTATTGCATAGATACATCATGCACTGACATAATATGAATATTAAAAAGGTTTAAAACCTTAGATGTTTCCGTTTCTCTAAAAATAGAGATTTTATATGGGTTAGTCCACTTATTAGATGGTATATGAAGTTTCAAAAAAATGACTTAATGAAAAATTATAAATGATGCCCATATACCATGAAAATAAGTTTACAATACACATATATAAATTAAGAGTGTGATTAGTTATTTACAAATAATACTAAAGATATTAAATATTATAGATAGCATTTATCAGAAAATTCAGTATTTTCGTAGGGGTTAGCCAACATATTTCAAGATAAATATGAAAATATTTTTATTTTATTTCATAGATGCATCATGCACTGATATAATATGAATATTAAATAGGTCTAATACCTTAGATGTTTCCGTTTCTCTAAAATAATGGAGATTTTATAGGGGTTAGTCCACTTATTAGGTGGTATATGAAGTTTAAATAAATTACGTAATGAAAAATTAGAAATGATACCCATATACCATGAAAAAAGTTTACCATACACATATATAAATTTACAGTGTGATTAGTTATTTTAAATAACACTAAATTAAATTAAATTAACTATTATAGATAGCATTTATCAGAAAATTCAGTATTTTCGTAGGGGTTAGCCCACATATTTCAAGATAAATATGAAAATATAATATTTTTGTTTTACTGCCTAAATCCATCACGAACTAACATAGTATGAATATTAAATAAGTTTAAGACCTTAGATGTTTCTATTTCTCTATAAAAATAGAGATTTTATAGGGGTTAGTCCACTTATTAGATGGTATATGAAGTTTAAATAAATTACTTAATGAAAAATAATAAATGATTCCCATATACCATAAAAATAGGTTCACCATACATATATATAAATTTAGAGTGTAATTATTTATTTTTAAAATATTACTAAAGAGATGAAATATTATAGATAACATTTATCAGAAAATTCAGTATTTTCGTAGGGGTTAGCCCACATATTTCAAGATAAATATGAAAATATAATATTTTTGTTTTACTGCCTAAATCCATCATGCACTAACATAGTATGAATATGAAATAGGTTTAACACCTTAGATGTTTCCGTTTCTAAAAAAATAGAGATTTTCTAGGGGTTAGTCTACTTAATAGATGGTATATGAAGTTTAAACAAATAACTTAATGAAAAATAATAAATGATGCCCATATGCCATGAAAATAAGTTTACCATACACATATATAAATCTCGAGTGTGATTAGTTATTTTTCAATAACACTAAGGAGATTAAATATTATAGATAGCATTTATTAGAAAATTCAGTATTTTCGTAGGGGTTAGCCCACATATTTTAAGATAAATATGAAAATATAACATTTTTGTTTTATC